GGAAGAGGGCTCTCGGTATTAAAGGCTGCAAATCAGAACTCTTGAGAGGCGTGCACAAAAGGAAAACTGGCTTGTTCCAAATTCTCCTTTAACCTTTTAGCACATGGCATCTGAGTTGACTAAGGCTAGCTCTATTGAATGAAAAGAGTCTGTATCAGTGAGGGCAATCTTGAATGTAAATGTTACCACTTCTGCCTAGCAAAGGTGCTCATTTGTAGTAAATTTAACGGTAGTATCTTGTGAAGAATGTCAAGTACATTTTGATATCCTCATTGAGGAAATAACTGCATAGTCCTAGCTATTTTTTGATATTAGCAACTGATATGTGTACTGAATTATATTAACTGATATTATATATGATATTAACTGATATTATATTAGCAACTGCTATGTGTACTGAAGCCCTGCTTCCTGGGAAGTGGCTGGACATTGCCTGCTGATGGAAAGTAGAGAATAAATCTTTTGTTTTCCTTTGCTTCTGCACACGGCCTTTGCTTTATTAAACTGCCTTTATCTTGACCCTCAAAGGGTTTTTTCCATCTTATTTTCTTCACCCCGTCCTGCTGAGGAGGGGAGTGATAGAGCAGCTTGGTGGGCACCTGGTGTCCAGCCAAGGTCAATCCACCACAACTCTTACAAGGAGACAAATACAGGAGAGAAATTGAAAGGGAGAGCATCTGCCACACTGGCTCTGCATCTGTATGTCTGGTTTGACAGCTTATGTAGTCTGCTGTTGCCTTCTGGTGATTTTTAGGTAAGAAAGGAAACTAGTATGGATATGTACTGGAAGTATAAAACATATGCTGACAACTTTCTGCTACCAAGAAAAATACTTAATCTGGAGAAGCTGTATCCTCAAGTGGATTTTAATTGGTACTACACCTGTTTTTACCAGATGGTGTTGTCAAATGAATCTGTGTTTCTGAAGGCTTTGCTCCGTTGTGTAATGTAAATAAGACACGCAGGCAACCATGGAGTGCCCTAAAAATTCAAGTTTTACTTGACTTTTAAATAACCTGGACACAAGTATTGACACAGCCATCTATCAAACTCAATTTAAAATAAAGTACACAGTTGCTTCATGAATACTTAATGTACGTAGAACATACGCATCGCATTGATATGTTTATATATGTTGTTTTCAAACATCTTTCTAGGGAACTTTGAATTAAACAGGCTCTCCCAAAAGAAAATGTGCTATCTATTCAGTTCAACATTCACTTATATAAAGATGATTGATTTGGCAACTTAAATGGTAGTGATTTTTCCCCAACCAACATCTTCAATATAATGAGCTTGATTAGAATGCGAGTTGCAAGGTTACGGATATTGGTAAGAAGTGCAGTGTAGAAAACAGCAAGTCAAGGCTAGCTCCTAATGAAAGAAACCAGCTAACAAGCAAGGGGACCAATATGAGCTATACAAAAATGCTTTTGTGTTGTGGTTAGCAAGCCCTCTTTATTGTACAAAATACATTTCGCAAAGAGGTATATCTATGTTGGAAGTGTTGCTAATTAATAAGTGAGAGCGTTTGATAACTTACCTATCCTTAGCACTTACAGAAGTCTCAGAAGAGCTAAATGCAGAGGCACGAAGTTAAAATTGTTGGCCTGAGATCAATTCAGCAGACTAGGAGCAGAAATAGGATGAGAATGTCTCAAATATCAGTCCTTTGTCCGTGTGATGACAGGTCTGTATGGCAGGCAACCCCAGGGTAAACTCTGCCTGACAGGGTTATACATTTCCTGTCTTTTGCCCGACTCATCAGGAGGTGCAAGCAGTTTGGACCAACATCCAAACTCCAGGTCTGAAAACATACCTGCCTCTAGGCAGCAAAAGACCCGAGAGCCAGGGAAGGGTAGCAACAGTGGAAAGGGCAAGGTGTAGCCCAGAGTTCTAAGAAGCCAGCCACCTACAGATGTTGTAGGGCTGGTTTAGGGCTACAGAATGTAGCTGTGGCACAGTAAGTGCTTTCAGTGATTGATCACTTGAAGGTATCTCTCACAAAAATAACAAGATCACAAGAAAAGGTGCCTTTCTTCAAATGACTGAGGAAAAGAAGCTTGAAAAGAAAGGAGGTTCATGTATATGGAAGAGATTTCTTTTTCTGTACTATTAGGTGACAGTGACATCCTTGTCCAAGCTTTGCCTTGTTCTGGCACTGACACTTAATGTGTAATACAGGCATTAAGCTTAGTCTTTCCTTTGTGGATACAAAACTGTACTGTGGTGCCCCAGACTGAGCATTAGACTTGCTGAAACCTGCTTCCTACATAGTCTCATTGGAGGTAAGACCACTAACTCAAATCCAGGACTCTTCTTTCTGTACGTGTCTCATTTAAATGCAAAAAAGTTGGCTTGATTACAAAACAACTCTCCTGTGACTTGAGAATTGAAACCTGTCACTATTAGACTAGATCAAAGCCTATTTTCTGATGTAGTGGCATAAGTGAAATACCACACGCTTGGCTGTTGGTAACCAGCAATAATACACAAAAGCCCACTGGCAGATGACAACATACAGGAAAACATGAGGTTGGATATAAACTTTACAAGTAATTTTCTTCTTGATCAATATTTGAGGATTGGCAAGATATGGACACTATGTACAGATAATTCTCAAATAATAACAACACAAATCTTCCTGAAGTAGCAGATATGTTCTACTTGCCTGTGCCCGAGTAAGGAATGCAGAATAATGGTAATGATTTAGAAAGCAACAAACTACAAGCAAGTGCATAATGCACCAGCTTGGAACACCTTCTTGAAGAAATGAGGAGTGGCTTTCCTTGCAGACACTGTAACCCATTCTGGTGTGGTTTGTCATATTTCAGTAGTCTTCCAAAAGATTGTGATGCTCTAGAGTAATCTGTATCACCGCAATCTTTGCCACAGTGACGTTTTTTTGTGTTTGGTTTTTTTTCTTTGTTTTGTTTTGTTTTTGTTTTTTTAACTAGTGTTTGTGAGAATACTACACAAGGTCATAAATAGATCCTAAAGGATCACTCTAAATTGGAGCAATGACAATGAAACCATTTAACAGACTTACTTACAAAACAGTTTGAGCAAATCCTTTAAGCCAAGCCCAACAACGTCCTAGGATTAAATCTGCAGTAAATTCAGAAAATGCTGAAGAACCTCCCTGAAAACAGAATTTTTACCACAGAGGGGTTCTAAGCTCTCTCCGTGCCTTAGATTTATTCACTGAGACTGAAGACGCAGAACTGTCCAAAATAAGTGATCAGACAAAAATATTTATGAAGTGAATCTGCCTTGCCTGGCACAATGCAGCATCTCCTAACCTGCAGACCAATCCATACTGTGACAGGAGTGTAACAAACTGCATGGCTACCACCCTAGCTAGTAGCATCCACCTGACCACCTCGGATCATTAAACAATAAAGAATCAAAAAATGAAGTGCAAAATCAAACACATCATACAAGGTTTCACTTCTCAGTTTTCTTGTTTAAAATGTGTATTAGTAATCCCATGCCTCTTGTAAAGCATAACTTAGATGCCTTATGCTCCCTCCAGTTCTCGAAGAGTATTGCGTTTCTGGCAGGGCTGCAGTCCCCTGGTACGGTGTTGCTGGGGGTAGAAGACACAGGACCACTGCCAGTCACTGAAGGTGGTGGGGGTTGAGTTTAAGCAGGACAGATGTAAAAAGGCACATGAACTACTACAGCCATTTCCAATGCTGTTTGACAAATTCAATATTTAGTTTGGGGATTACACTTAGCAAGAGTTACTTCCACAACACAAAGATTTTACTAAGCTTCTTAGTAAGTCAGCAACGCCAGAAGGCTCATCCATGTACTGACTGTGGACAAATGGGAGGCAGAGGAATGACTTCAGCTATTTGTACGAAGCAACAGGACCAGGAGAAGAGCTAGGCATCACTTCAGATACATACTAGAAGATAACCCACTCAATGTGCAGCATCATTAAAACTTACTATTCCTACTGTGACAACAGAAAAAAATCGCAATTATCATACCTGAAATACTGCCTTTGTCACTTTATCATAGTAGAAATGGCTCAGAGAAAAGTATCGGAAGGTACTAGCATTGATTATTTCACATGAAAAGAGATTAAGGCAGACTTTGCTAATCTAGTTTAAAAAAAAAAAAAAAAAGCCTATTTGCTAGCTGTCTTAAATCCTACTCTACAAGTTTCATTTAACCAGTACTTAAGTGTCTTGCTAAGCAGTCTTAATATGGTGGGTCAGTACATATTCTCCAGTTTTTTTCCAGTGTGGTTTGCTATAAGGTGATAGATGTATTTCTGTGGTATGGAATGTTCAATTAAATAGTCCCTCTACATAAAAGGGCAGTCAAAATTGAGAACACTTAAAACTGCCAAGGGCAAGTAAGTCTGTATCACCTCTGGAACATTCTGCTACAGGGTGTTACTATTATTTCTGAGCTAAAATGAGTTGAGTCAACATTTGTATTAACATGAGCATCTGTTGTTGTGCGAGGCTAAAATAAACCTTGTAAGAGCTATTAGTCCTTATGTCTCAGGACACAAGTTGATCCCCATACAAAATTGTGAAGATTTCTCCCCATATCACACTGTATTGCACAATTGGCCAAAAATACGACTATTTTGCTTCTCTTGAAGCATCTGGTCCTGATCATGTCAGTTAACAGTCATTTTTTGGAAAAAGGCTATTCAGTTACAGAGCAGACCATAAAGCCTGTTTTGTGGCAGCAATTTTTTTTGTTCATTTTTTGGAAATGTAACCGCTGATCATTCAGTTTTACTACGACTTTTCTTTTTGGTTGTCTAATTAGGCAGCTTCTCCTCGATCAGTCACACCACTAGAACGGTGTCAGTGATAAAAGCATTGCTTGGCCTGCCCAGCAAGCAGGCTGCGCTTCTGAGTGTCCTGAAGAAATTGCTACCATGTTGACTTCGGTTCCTTCCCTTTCACACACACACACAAATTCTTAGTTTCCAAAGAATAAAATCCATTCACCATCTTCAGTTATGGCAGTCAACTCTCCACCTTGAAGCGTGACACCTGTACAGTTTTTATGATCTTACTGGTGGATTTTCCATCAATGTCGTTAGTGGATAACTGAGATGTTTCCTCTATTAGGCTGTCTTTAGATCCGTTCTGTCTCTGAAGGGAACAAATGAAAACATATTGTTGAAAAGGTATAGCAGAATTTAAATACTGTATTTTGATAACTGCTGCTATGACAGCCTTAGACTAAGGATATAGCAATGTATATATATATATATACACACCAGGAATGTTAAAGTGTCTACATTTATTTGATCAAACAGAACATTTTCCCCCTCTTGCCTCCTCTCTCCCCTGCCAGCTGCTGCTGCTCTGAGCTATTCGCATTCAAATTCCCTATTCAGGAAATGCCACGACTAATTATTTGATATTTAGCAAAACACTGCAAGCCACTGTTGTGAGGGGGTCTGGGGCAGAGGCAAAAGAGAGGTGTTTGTGGACACTGAACATTTTAACATTAATTCCCTCCAGGGCATGAATTTCAGCCATATTGTATTGGATAAGAATGGAAATAAGACAATGTGAATTTTGAACAGGACTCAATCACACAAGTTACCTATTTCTACAAAGCACATAAATGTGCTTAGCCTTAAGTATACCAACTTCCCCTTCATTGCTGGAACAAGTCCTTACAGAAACATCCAGGACAGCTCAACTTTTTCAATTTCCATCATATGCAGGAATACAAATACCCTGGAACTTAATTCCTATCAAAGAACAAGTAGTCTGTTAGCTAGCCTTAAAGTGAAAAATATCTGTTTATTGTTTTAAAATTGTTCAAGCTTACATTATTTTAACTGCTTATAAGATAAAATATGACATGTTTCACTGGTGGTATTCTGCACAGTTTCCACACTACACACAGTATCAGCATGTGGTTTTGGTATATCCACATGCCAGATTACCAGACATGATGACTGGTGTGGGAAGTTAGGTAGAAATGTGTCTGGAATTCTCCATTCCATGTTTCGGTTTCCCTTTAGTGTGCTTGTCCAACAGACCTGCAAGTGCTTTTTGAATATCATTTGCTTCTCACATTTTCAGCTTAATAAAACTACCAAGCTGAGAGACAGGGTGCCGTAATTTATGATGAAAGCCATTGATTACATCTAAAAAGACAAGTTCTATCCTTTTCAGATTTGAATAACGGAAAAAACTATTCAGCATTTGGGGAAAAAAAAGAAAAAAGGAAAAAAAGCAATGCTTCAAGCCCAAGCAACAAAACTCTAAGAAAAGCTCTAAGAGGCGGCAAATAAATGACAGCAGGTTGTGACTACAACTGCATCCTAAGCACACTTGCATATTTTAAGAAATTTTGAATGTTGATTCTCCTCCTGTGGAGAACAGGGTATCATCTTAAGGAAGCATCAAACTCAAACTGGGAAAGAAACAGAACTACATATATTTGGAAATATAAACAAAGTAGTCAGACTGCAAAATATAAAATTTCAAGTCACACTGCTGCTGAAAAAAATCTCGGCCAGCTTTAATTTTCACTGAAAAACAAAGATGTAATTTAAGCAAAGCACTAGTCCAGCCCTTCCCTCTAAAAAAGTAAAATTGCAAAGGATGCACAATTACTAACCTGTTGAGTCAATTGGATGCTGGGACCTCTAGCATCTGAAGATCGTGTAACAGGCAGTGGAGGCACCAGATCAGTTTTTGCACTGGAATTACAATATTACAGAGTGGATATTACTATAATGAAGTAAACTATAACTGTGCACAGGAAGAATAATGAAACTGACCCAGAGAGCTACACAGATCTGAAAGGCAAAATCCAGAAAGGCTTATCACCTGACTTTAGACATCCAAAAGCTATTGGGCTGATCCTCAGTAGTTGGTGGACACCTTTGGGGCATAGGTCATCCCATCCCTTCTCAAGGGGCCTGTCTCCTCCTGGTCTACAGAGGCAGCCCAGCTTCATGCAAGATGAGTCTCACGTGAAATCATGGGTGTGCCACACCTCCTTCAGCGTGCCATCCAGCTAAAACTAGCCTCCCAAGTGGGTGATATTGACTGCTTTTGATATTTAAGGTCTTAATAAAACTGAGAACGGGGCTGTCACTATTCCATTCAGAAATATACAATTTTACAAATCAGTCTTCTAGGAAAGACTGATCCACCCATTGCTGACAAGTGTCGTACTAGAGTTCCCATGAAACAAATTACAGGAGTTAATACACGTGATATCTTAACTCTACTAAGGATTAAGGTATCTGGAAAGCAACTCATGAGTTCTCATACCTTAGGCAACTTGATGACCTACCACTGAATAGCAACACAGGTTTATTTTGGCTTTTTCAGTTTTTCCCCCTTACGAGCAGATCAAGCAAGCCTCTGTGGCCCAAAATAGACCAGAAATGTTTTTGTATTTGTTTGAGTCATTTAGCTCTGAAGAGGGTTGCCTAAATCCTATGCCAGCAAACAACCACGTTTATGCCACTTCTAATCCAATCATGATCATTGAACAACTTTTGGGCCACACTAAATCAGGCCATTGCCAATAAGCACATTCACATACTTCACTTCAGACAGGACAGATCTTTCACCATCAGAGCACTGGGACCGCCGATACTGACGGTAGCTTCGAGGGGAATGTGAATGCCTAATGCGGATTGGGTCGCCTTGAGTCCTAACAGAGACAGAATTCACAACAGTTGGTTAGTAAACCAGATCTTCAGCACAAAAACATAAATTCAACTGCAGACTGAGAGATCTTCCCATTTCTTATTAAAGTATAACAGATGGCTTCTTGCACAGGCTGAATTTAAAAGGCTGATGCTTTTCTTACGAGTCTGTACTTGGAATTCAATGTTTTAAAAGTGCAAAGGTCACAAACTGGCATGCCCATATTTGAGAATGAAACTATTTAATAAAGAATGCATTAATATATACAGCTTTAACATCAGCCATTTCTGTGTAGTGGTGTTGTGGAAGCACATTGTAATGCAAACTGGTATCCCCTTTTCTGCCACATGCAGCTGCTTGCACTGACACATGGCATCCCAAATGGGCAATTATCACAATGAAATAGATGTCCATTCTTGAGGAAATAGCTATGCCCTGGCAGCTGCCCATGACAAGCAAGGAAGGGGGTTGAACAGGTCAAACAGTGCCTTAGATGATTAGAATGAAAATTTAAAAGGTAGCATAAGTTTAGGAAATAAATGGATTTGCTTGTTTGCATTCAGTTCTCTCTGATTCTGTAGTGTATAACATAAAACTGATGGATGGCATAGGGAGACATGCAGAACATACAGACATCCGGCACATTCATGAGTGTGTGCGAGAGATAGGGAGAGATGAAGATGATTTTTTTTTTTTATTTTGGAAAGAGAAAATATTAGGTTTTAAAATTATTAATTATCCTCACCCAACTCATCCCAGATGAGCATTTGGAGTAGATAAAAGCTTAGAGATTATGTGTAAACCCACTCCTATTTCAGCATGACAGAGTTCACAGTAAAATAAGAATGGGCTTTTATATTCACAAATAAAAGTCCTGACATAAACTCACTCTATTTTAGTATATGGAATTTCTTTCAATTGCTCCTCAGACAGGCCAGATGGATCCACAAGCTCCTTCCTAGAAAGGATTAGGCAAAGTGAAAAATGTAACAGTAGCTACCAACTGCAAAACCATTCTTATTTTTATTATATTAAGCTGAAAAGATTTACTGAAACAAGCTGTTGTCAGCCGTGAAGCTATCTTGACATCAAAATAGGAAACCTATTAAGAAATGTGTCTAACTTCACCTTGATTGCTTCAGCTGCGTGTCGCATCCTGTTCCACCCTCCTCTCACCTCCCTGCAAATCTCATCTTGTTGCTTCACAATATATATGAACATTGTGTATACTGAACATCGAATATGCTTTTGAATAGCTAACTACCTTCCTAACTGGTAGTTCTATAGCATGTGGGACCTCATCCTAAAAGTGTCAGTGTTACAAACAAGGACATTTTGGAAGCCCCAGAAGAATAAATCTCTAAAACGCTGATTTCTTCTTTAATAATCCATCTACATACAATGGTCATCTGTATTCAGTGCATTCAGTGATCTGCAGTATCTTCTACACAGAGCAGGTCATTAACTCCCACATAATTTACTGTGGCACATAACTAAATCAGAATGTAATGCCTTATAGCCACAGTGCAGGGGATGTGAGTAACTACATTAGAGGCAAATCAAGCAGTCACTCGGACCCTACAAGCACAGTACTTACTGAATATGTTTCCACAGTTCTTCTTTAGCTTGTACATCTGGGCTTCTCCTATAAATACCAACAAAGACAACAAAGGCAGAACTGTGAAAACCATCATCTGACATGTTGCTGTTCAAATAACTTTTAACAGCACAGACCCTGCACAGAAATCATAGTAAATGTAATCCACCAGTGACTTCAATTTTAAGGCTTGTTATCTCAGAAAATGCATTAAACTTCATTGCTTTATTTCAGCTGAAAAGTCGTTTCTTGAATGACAGGCTCTCAATCACAATTTCTGTTCCACTAGCCTTCAGCAAGAGTATGCATAAAATATAAACAACCGCAGAACTTCACAAGCCAGATCAGTGCCCAGCTACTCCTACCCCTTATCCAGCTGAGGACAATGTGTTTTGGAATAACACTTTTGCAAGAGGCCCTCAGAAACGTCCTGTGGCCCACAGAGCCCTTTGTGGGCAGGAGGAGGGACAGGCCACGCCAGGCTGACACACCAGTAATCCCTGGCCATTTCCAGTGCGCACCAGTAAAGAGGACCCATTGCTCAGCTGTGATCACAGTACACCGTCTTGCTTTCTGGTCATTTCCAAGAAGGGTTTCTTGCTCACTCCATTTACCTTTGTGATGTCCAGGACAAAAAAACAACAAACAAACCAAACCAGTAAACATGCATACTTACACACACAAATATTTCAGCAAGTATTTCATTCACAGAGAAAGTACTTAGCCAAAATTGCAATTTCCCTGTTGCAGACATAGAGACATAGTAAAGCAAGCCTGAATGGCACGCCTCACATTTTCCACTGAATTACAGAAGATACCACCTCTAAACTGGATCACATTTATTTTTATTTTTCTTATCCTATTTTATTGCAGGGTTAGTGCAAAACCACTGCTGTTGCTGAAGTTGCACCTAGAATTCACCAAAACCCATGCAGCATAATAGATTAAATAAGCATTTTACACAGTGGCAGGGACTACATTTGCATAGAGAGATCAGATAACTCTTTTCATTGGGATTATATAAACTCTATGTCAACAGCTAGACCATTCCACACCATCTGAGATGTGAGGGATGCAACTTTTAGACAGATTCTGCATGCACAAATGCTCCCACTGAAGTCACAGTTCCTCAAAGATTAAGTTTACATCATCAGATCGTACAACTTGCCTTTTCTTCCTTAAACAAAAGGGCCTATCATATTCAAAGATGCTTTTGGAGTGACATAATCCAAATTTAAATTAAGATCAAGGAGGACAGCTGAGTTCTGCATTTCAGCATCTGTAAAATCGGCTCTCCATTGCCCAGTGGCAGAGCTGTATCAGAAATAATTTCAAACTGCTCTCTGGCACTAAGTTTCACTGTTTTCTTATTTCACTGCTATTGTGTTTGGCTCATTTCCAGACTTCAATCTAGGAATAATGTTCAGAGATATCTGTATTGCAGTAAATGTTATACAGTTGGTGTACAGGCAGGTTATTTAGGGATGGTAATGTTTGGGGTTTTTTTTTCATCTTTAATTTACAGGTGCAGAAGTGCTGGAAGATATTAGTTTACTGCTTTATAAATACCAGAGAGAGACAGAAGGGTGAGAAACAACCTTACATTTGTGATACCCCGGTGGGACTAATACAAACTAATCCATAACCTTCTCAGGCTCCAAGGGGGCGATGGCTTTCCAGACAGCCTGACACAGCCACCCCAGACGATTCCCGTCCTTGAAGGACTGCTCTGCTGTCTGTTCCGACTGCTCAGGTCCTCATGATGGGAACAGCTATGGCCACGAGTAGCTTGCAGTCCAATTCTTCTCAGCGTTCAGAGTTTTTTGTGGCTTTATGTGTTTGTATTTATTACAATGGATTTAATTTTCTGTAATTTTCACTTCTCCTATCTCTCCCTCTCCCTTCTCGCATTTACTTCTTCTCTCCTTCTTACCTCTGTCCATGCTGTTTTTAACTTCCTGATGCAGTAGCTTGGTATGCAGTGGCATTTAACAGCCTTTTCCACCCCTCAGTTTTGAATTGATTTCTCCTTCCATGCAACGCCCTGCTCACAAAATAGCAGCTGCAAACCCTGCATTCACCCTGGGGCTGGGAAGATAGGCATCCTCTTCTGAGGCTGAATAATCAGGCAGTGGGGAATGTGAAAGCTCCCTGAAAAGCACCAGCTTCTCCAGGGAGGCTTTGTCATGCTTACAAGCCCTAGTTTGCCTGAGGAAGAAAAGCCTCAAGGTCACTCCCAAACCCAGGATCCCCACAAAGGAGGGTATTGTGCACATCACTGACCCATCTGATCAGCTCATGGCTTTTACTTATTCATGGAAATACAACAGTTCAGGATGCGGCCTTAAGTCTCACATATCACCAAACGTCATGTGAAGCCTCACCTACAGTAAGAAGAAGTTATCTTCCTTTCTCTATTTTCTAGGAACTGTGCCTCCTGCTTTCTACAGCCAACTCCAGGCATTTAATTCTGTGATCTCTGCCATTCTCCCTCCTCCCACCCCTGCAACTACACTAATAAGGAAGCCACTGCTGTAAAAGACTGGTTTAGCAATATGGCATCCCATGAGGGGGAAAAATAAAAGGAAAAGGGCTAAACACAGTGATTCCTCAGAGCAAACTTTTATGAATTCCCATCTTGACATTTTTTTTTTTCCATCTGTTTAAGAAGTGTTACCATACTGGGATAACCTCACAGCATTTATTCAAGTTAACTCCCCACATAAGAATATGCTACAGATAAAGTATCATAATAAAAGTATTTTCCTTCCAAAGGTCTGTTCCTGCTTCCTTTGAAGGCAGAATTAAGAAAAGCTTACAAAAAGAAAGGTCTTGCTAAGGTGAAATGTAGGTATTGCACATACTGCATAGGAAATTCATGTTTGTATGGTTCTTAACAGCCCACAACAAAGCAATCCTTCTATTAAATCTTTAAAGCCAGATCACAATCTCTCTTTCACTTTGGTTTCATTTTTTTTACTGTGAATTGTTTTAGCACTCACAGTTTTGACATGTAATGTATACTGAGATTGTCCTATTGCAGTATCTGAAGCAATAGCTTCTGGACAATTTGTACGCTAATCAGATTCTCTAATGCACAAGAAATCTAATGGGAATTCCCAGTAAGTGATGAGTGCCATGGGGTTTTTTTTGTTTATTTTTATTTTGTTTTCACAAGCTTGAACAACTCTACACATTAATAAGGTCTACATTATTTTTTTGTGTCTGCATCTGCACCCTTATTAATATTTCAGTTTGAGTCACAAATGGTAAATTTAAATAGCCATGGAATTTTAATGGCCATTCTTCTTAATTAAAAAAAGCCCTTTGGCTACACAGATGTTTTACATGAACTCTTGAAAATAAACCCTGTAGAACTAGAATTGGGAGCTCTCCCTATTTGCTGATTCCTTTAGGAGAAAGAAAGGTCAAATTCTTGTCAAATATTTTTATTCCTGAGACTGAGAAGACACCACCCCACCACCACCACCACTGATTAATATTACTCATTATCAAACAAATGAAATTCACTGTGCCAGCCACAGTAACAAATATTTCAGCCATTACTTCACACTTCCAAAGTGAACCTCTAGTTAAGCTGACTACAATAAGGAGCTTAATGTGAAAGACTTACCTGTACTACTAATATGAAGGTTTGGTATCAATTAAATGTGCAAATTGAAATGACCATATGACCAGATTTAAAGAAAAAAAGCCAACCATACCCTACACCCTAGGGAATCACGTTTCCCTTCCCTCTGACCCACATCCAGTCATGTAAGCAAACACCTAAGCCAAACTAAATTAAATAAATGCTCTTATAACCTACTGCAGGTTAACAGTTAAATGCCTTCTACAAAACTTTTTTTAAAGCACTTTGAAAGGAATTCCCATTTTAGTTTTTTTAGTTCCTGCTTGCATATATTAAGGATCTCTGCCATACTTGGTAGGTTTGGGCTTATCTCATTGTTTTGTTTTTGGGTTTTTAAACTGAAGAGTGAGACAAAAAGGAGGAATATATTCATCATTAACACAATAGGGAAAAGAAATGAGAAGCCACCCAAAATCTTCAGGATTTTCTCATTTCTTTGCTTCCTCTAGGATCTTTCTTCGTTAAGTAAGATGCTACAGTTATATTTTTTGCTAATAGTAGTTTAAATAAAATGTAACTCAGAATGTCACTGTGCTGGAAAATAAAAGCCATTTCCTAAGTTAAATTAGCCACAAGAGGGAGCCTGTGCCGCCCAAGCAATGAAATTTACTTGGTCTATGGGAAAAAAGAAAAGTTGGCTATAAATTTAATCTAAACATTATTAACTGAGTACATTTCCTAGTTTATAGCACTTTCTGTATATAGTAAAAAAATGTAAATCAAACTTAATTAGCTATATTTTGTGGATTCCATACAAGTGAGCTTTAATATTCCTGATTTTTAGTAATATATCATTGTGTAATTACACCTAATAACATTTGACTTTTGTGCAGCTGAAAGCAAACAAGTCTGTACAAAGCCAGTTAAAGTAGAAATTCCAACATTTGGAATTTTAATGGCAAATTCTATTTCTCATAAAAGAATGAAAACTGTGCACTATGAAACTGGAAGCAGAAATGTGTTCTAGCAACACGGGCAACTGAAAACAGAACTCAAGCATATTTTAATACTGGAAACTTCAGTGTGGGTTATGGTTTCAACCGGTATGAATGAAATAACCATTTAAGGCACTATACAATTTGCCTTGGTAAGTCTGAACATGAAAGGTAAATTTAAGAAAAGACATTAATGAAAAGTATCTACGTAAGTGTGTTACAGAGGCCACACATTACACCATCAGCATCAGGGCCGGATAACTCATCTATTTTAGCCAGGCAGTGAGGGTGGGGGATACAGTTTTGAAGACTGCTCTCTCTTCCCTTCTCTCCCAGTGCCTAACAGCTGCTCTCCTGGCACTCTTCAACACCGTGGGCCCTGCCCTGCCCTGCCCTGCCTGCCAGGCACGCTGATGCTGGCGCTGCTTTGGATGGTTGCTTGGATGGCAGATTAGGTTGGACACAAACACAATACAAAACAGTGTGTTTATACCCCCAAAAAATGCCATTAGAAGGAAAATATAAATGAAAAGAAATCAGCGCTTTTATTAGTTTGAGAAAACTAATTTTAGAAGCTCACAACTTCACCATGTCAAAACCGGCTGTCAGAAGGAACGGCACGGCCTGGCAGCACGGCTCCATCATGGAAATCCTGACATCAGGATGCAAAAAATCACTGACTGCTGCTTGCCAATGGTAATTTGACATGGAGACAAGTAGCTGGTCTCAGCTGGAACAATACCACAGACATTATATGATTAAACGAGCGTGCATGCATTTCACAAAAATGCCTGCACCTATCACACAAAATCTGAATGTTTCCACAGACATGCTGCCCAGAAGAGGGAATCACTGTCCTCATTACAGAACCAATGTTCAATGAGCCACAAAACCATCCAGGACTCTATCCAAGGTGATGGAGAGAGTTCCTGACAAGCCCTGTTAGAAAGCCCTTCCTGTGTTATTTGTACCCTGAAATTCAAATCACTCTACAAAGCGAGTTTGACCACAAAGATAAATCTGCTAATGTGAGAACATGCCACGTGAAAGTCTCTGTTCCTCAGCAGCTGAGAGCCATCATCACACTAGAGATATTCCTCCTGCTTTTTAACATGCTACAGCAGTCTTAATTTTCCCATTAAAAAAGGCAAGGATTACATACGATCGAGATCTGTGCCTGGATCGCCGGTAGTTTGGATCCGCCTGGTTTTTCTCCTTTTGTCGCCGCAGTACAGCTTCCCACTGAGGAGCGGAGTCAACCATGTCATTCTCTTGCCGTAATCTGCAAAAGGAGTACTGGGAGTTTAGTCTGAGGTCTCTGTCACAGGATGCTCTGAGAAGCAATGGGGTATTTTTTTCCCCACAAAAATCCAGCTCCTGCAGTGCAATACTTTAACTTTTTATCTTGCTAAATTTTAAGTAATGCTCCTGAACAACATTAAAATGTAAGAATCTGTATCAAAGAAAACTCATTGATTTGCTATTTAGAAACAGTGTAAGCCAAAAATGAGATGACCCTTTAAAAACAGGACTACAACTTGAATTCAATTTGTCTTCCTAGCCTGAGCCAAACATCTAGAAGTTTTTTTCCTGCTTAAGTATTCAGGTCCACCTCATCTACAGCAGATGTAAGCCCAACATCATGATACAAGGCTCTGCTACCACAGCTTTTCCAAATACTTTTTTGCAGCACACACCTTCCTAGAATCCAGGGAAAATCCCCCAGGGATGCTGTTGGTGAGTTCCTGCTCAGAGGAAGCAATCCCTCCACCCTGACCTGCAACAAAGCCCAGCATACATGCAGAACTCCCTGGGTGCCCCAGACACATATAATCCTGCCATTGTCACCCCTTCTGCACCGTCCCCTGTGGCTTTGTCCCCTGCGGCTTTGTCCCCTGTCTCTGCTTATGTGCTTCTAAACAACATGATATGCCTTCTAATTATTTTTTTTTTTTTTACATCCAAGAATCCATTATTGGCATGTAGTACAGATTAAACCAAATGTCAAAATCCTACAAATTCACCACATTTGTTAAAACGCTGAAGTAACTGTACAATGACACAAAACAGACAGGGCAACCAGCATGCCAGTATTTGGCCATTCAAAGCTCTACAGATGTTTCACAGTTTTGGGGTTGCAGATATGAGTAGTGTGATGAAATGCTAAGATGGAACAAATGGATAAGCTTGGTCACAGCAGTGAATTTAAAATTCAGCAGGGATTTAGGAAGAACCCTGGAAAATATCGCTCCAAGAGTGGGTTCTCTGATAGCATGGTATGACTGGCATACTGAAGAAACCAGAGGAGCTTAAAAAATGGGAAGACTGACAGGTAAAACAACCAAACAAGCCAACAAAGATAAAGGGATTACACTGGAGATGTGACTGATAGGAAATGCAAAGCATGCTGTTGTTGTTGCTCTTCACTACAGAGGTACCTTTCTCCTTGAGTTTTGAATCGTGTCAGGCTAAACTGGCTATGCAGGCTGCTGCTTTTCCTTTAATCAGATCTCCTCTCACACACGTAATGAATTTTAGCTGGATCCCCAACTACTGTAAATGGCCACAACTCTACAAAGTGGCCCTGATCATCTGGAGAAGACTGCAACATCAGGTTTTGATTTCTAAGCAAGTCTTTTTAAACCTATAATCTGGTGACAGGGATTAACATAAACTTCTATCTAAGGATTTCGTAGAAAAACTCACACAGCAATAAGTAATGAATTGTGATTTTCATCCCGAATAATCCACTTTGTAAAGGCAGCAGTCATCCCACATGGTATAAACACTATCAACTGCCTTGCACATATGGCAGTCACTTGCACAAAAAGAAGACATGCGGCTGCCAGACCAGCGCTGCTGCTGTGGGTGGTGGGTCTGCCCGCTTGCAAGTACCTCGCCCCATCTCTCCCAAACAACAACTCCTAACAGGTCAAGTAGACAGCTGTGCTCTGAAGGAGGCACGTGGATGCTTGCCATAAAATAACCGAGCGCTACTCATTCTTCTCAGGAAACCCACACAACGCAACAGAGCACAAGGTCCGTATGCCATCACTGAGCACATGAGATCCTGCACCTCCGTGTTTGAAGCCACACTTCCACACTGACTATGAATGACCTCTCGTTAAGGGAGTAAACACATAATTTCTGCTCTGGTCCATTCTACTAATCTAGTAGATTAGCATCTACTGCTGTGTGGCAAGCACAGTCCTTAGCAATGCATTCATTTATCTCCCAGTACTTCATATTTCTACTCTGCCTCCTTTCTTCTACTTGTTGTAACAGTGTTCATCATCATTATTTATCTCTTTAATTTGAGCAAAATACCAAAAATCTAAATACATAAATTAGCATGCCAGCTATTAAAACAAGTAGTGTCAAAGTACACTCAATGTACACTCAAAGTACTGTTGCACCACAGCAGAACTCTACTAGATGGAGATAGGAAGCAAAAAAGCATTCATTTCGCAACTGCAAAGAAAGGTACTATGCTCACATTTAACAACATAAAGGATGACAAAGGTAACACAATGTGTACACAAAATACATTATTTAGATGCAATGATCAAATCATAACAATTTTGGGGCAAAATCTTTAGCTTTTTGGCAACAGACATGACGACAACAACAACAACAAAAAAAAACGAAACCAAAAAAGTGGAAAGAAATTAACTCAAAACCTTAATTTCTATTTAAAAATACTTTTGACAAACAGTGTTGCTTGTAGTCCAAGTCCATTACAACTTTCCTTTCATTCTTTTCACTTTTTGCTCCTACAAAGGAACAAGTTGATTTATGTCTTAGAGAAAAAAAAATCCTTGTTACTGGCATGTGAAATAAATTCAGTTGAGATTAATAGCTATCACAGTGACAAATTAGGCATCGTTTGCAGGAAGACTTGATGGTAAAATGGAAAGTTGTAAGACTATCATCACTCATCTGTTGACTTAGAGATGTGTTTTTTCCCCACTTCAGGTGGTATGATAGCAAGCTACCTTTATGCAATGATAAATTCTCTTAAGACAAGCAACTCTGAAGACTTGATTCTTGAAACCTCATTCACAGTATCTGAGTGTAAAGTTATTATTTAGGTACAATGTACAACAATGAGGGGCTTGTTGGGGATGTGAAGGTCAAAGGCAGCCTTGGCTGCAGTAACTATGAGATGGTGGAATTCAGGACCCCAAGAGGAGAGAGAAGGGCAAAAAACACAATCACAACCCTGGACTTCAGGAGAGCAGGCTCTGCCCTCTTCAAAGATCTCCTTGGAAAAGTCCAGTGGGATAAAGCCCTGGAGGGAAAAGGGGCCCAAGAAAGCTGGTTAATATTCAAGGGTCACCTCCTCCAAGCTCAAGAGAAGTCCATCCCAGCAAGTAGAAGTCAGGCAAAAATGCCAGCAGGCCTGCATGGATGAACAAGAAGCTCCTGGCAAAACTCAAACACAAAAAGGAAGCATGCCGAAGCAGGGACAGGTAATGTGAGAGAAATATAGAGACATTACCTAAGCGTGCAGAGATGACGTTAAGAAAGCCAAAGCTCAAAGCAGAGGTGTCCATAAGTAGACAGGCAAAAAAAGGAAGGCTAGGGCCTGCTGCTGAATGAAGCAGGGGACCTTGTAACATAGGACATGGAAAAGGCTGAGGTACTGAATGCCTTCTTCACCTCAGTCTTTACTAGTAAGACCAGCTTTCAGGAATCTTAGTCCCCAGAGAGCAGGAGGAAAGGCTGGAGCAAGGAAGACATAACGTTGGTGGAAGAGGATCAGGTCAGGGAAGACTTAAGCGAACTGGGCATACATGTCCAGGGGCCCACGGGTGCAGAGGAAGCTGGTTGATGTCACTGCAAGGACTCTCTCAATGGCCTTTGAATGATCATGGTGATTGGCAGAAGTGCTGAAAGGCTAGAGGAAAGCAAATGTCATTCATGTCTTCAAGAAGGGCATGAAGGTGCACCCAGGGAACTACAGGCTGGTCAATCTCACCTCGATCTCCAGAAAGGTGATGGAGCAGCTAATCCTGGAAACCATTTCCAGGCACATGAAGGACAAGAAATTAACCAGGAGTAGTCAGCATGGATTCACCAAGGTGAAGTCATGCTTTACCAACTTGAGACTCTTCTACAATGAAATAACTGGCTTGGTAGATGAGGGGAGATCAGTGGATATTGTCTACCTGGACTTCAGGAAGGCTTTCAACAGCATCTCCCATAAGGTCCTCATAGAGAAACTGTCGAAGTATGGGCTGGATGAGCAGACAGTGAGGTGCACTGAAAACTGGCTGAACAGCCAGACCAGAGGGAGGTGATCAGACATGTAAAGTCTAGTTGGAGGCCAGTTACACCACACTACTGGTGTACCCCAGGGGTCAATACTGGGTCTGATCCTGTTTAACATCTTCACTAATGATCTGGATGATAGGGCAGGGTGTACCGTCAAGCAAGTTTGCTCATGACACCAAAATGGGAGGAGAGGCTGATACACCAGAGCATCGTGCTGCCATCCAGAGAGATCATGACAGGCAGGAGAAATGGGCTGACAGGAACCTCATGCAGTTCAACAAGGGGAAGTGCAAAGTCCTGCACCTGGGGAGGAAAACCCCAGGAATCAGTACGTGCTGGGGGCCACCCAACTGGAAAGCAGCTGGGCAGAAAAGGACCTAGGCATTCCAGGGGACACCAAGTTGAACATGAGCCACCAACAAGCCCTTGCAGCAAAGAAGCTGAATGGTATTCTGGACTGCATTAGACAAAGTACTGCCAGCAGGTCGAGGGAGGTGATCCCTCTCCTCTACTCAGCACTGGTGAGGCCACACCTGGAGTACTGGGTCCAGTGCTGGGCTCCCCAGTACAAGACAGACATGGACATACTGGAAAGAGTCCAGCAAAGGGCCACCAAGATGATGAAGGGACTGGAGCAGCTCTCCTAGGAGGAAAGGCTGAGAGAGCTGGGACTGTTCAGCCTGGAGAAGAGAAGGCTCAGGGGGATCTCATCAATGTGTATAAATACCTGCAGGGAGGCTGCAAACAGGACATAGCCAGGCTCTTTTCAGTGGCGCCCAGTGGCAGAAGCAGAGGCAATGGGCACACACTGAAACACAGGAGGTTCCTCCCAAACATCAGGAAACACTTTTTCACTGTGAGGGTGACCAGGCACTGGCACAGGTTGCCCAGGGAGGTGGTGGAGTCTCCCTCCTTGGAGATACTCCAAAGATGTCTGGGAATGGTCCTGGGCAACTGGCTCTAGGTGACCTGCTTGAGCTGGGGATTGGACCAGACAACCTCCAGAGGTCCCTGCCAACCTCAACCATTCAGTCGTTCTATGATTCTAATCAGATAGATCTTCTAAGTATAGTCAAGTAGAACACTATGCTCCAGTGCACATTGTCTACTAGTTTAATACATTTTTATCCACACAATAAATTTTGACCACAGCATTAAAAAAAGCAATATAAGTTTCTTCTATGACTGAACTATGCTCATCATCGGTTCTTCCTTAATCTCGTATGAACGTCTGCTTAGAATAAAGCATTCATATGATGGAGTGAAACATCAAAGACTGATTGAGATCAAGGAAAAAGTTTCTCCCTAACTTTTTTCCACTGTTTTACCTTCAGAAGGTCTCATCTGCATTTCTGTTTTTTTTCTGATAATATGTTTTCATCTGATAAATAGTTCACAGTGATCTATTGTCATGTGAGCAATAAATTCTACTCTTCTATGATCAGAAGAGGATTCTTTTGAGTAATGTGAGTATTCAGTCATTTTATTCCAATAAAACAATACAACTTTGTGTCTGCTTGTGCCAGGGACTTGATTATCGTACTGGGAAATAAATTAGTATTAATCTATGCAACAGGTAAAACTTCAGTAATAGCAGTTGCAAGCCTCATTATATTGTCCCATTTAACCCTGTTAGGGCTGGCTCACCTCTGCTAGCGGAAAGCTATTCAGTACCTGTGCCCTTTCAGCTTATTGTATTCCAGCTGTGGCTGCTAAGAAAATGCAGAAACTCATTATGACTGGTGGTTTTCCTGCACCTGATGACAAGGAACAAGTCTCAGCCCTCCAGCTCATTTAGTACTTGTTTACTTTAACACTGATAATGACTTTTGATCTGGTCTGATTTCAAGTGACCACCTAAGAGTAAGAGATGCTGCAACATTAACATTTTTTATGTATCCTGCATTTCTGAAAATGTGAAAAACATGAAAACAATCCACACAAATTGATTTTTTTTTTCTTTTTAATTTTAAGCACTTTTCCATGAGGTGAGGAAGGGTTGGTAAAGACCCTTTTGTTCTTCAGAAACTGATAAGCAGTACTTAATCCTTCTTACAATTCAATCTTTATATTGCAAAAAGTTCTTAAAAACATTCTTGTGGTCAGTCTCTTATTTCCTTCACTTTCTTGTGGAGTTCCCTGAACAAGAAGTTTCACAGGAGAAAAAACCTGGCAAGAGTGTTCTAAGAGAAAGGGACACAAAATACCATTTTCCTACTGATCACTGAAACTATACTCAGCATTTCATTCAACCTTCAGAGCTCACCTGGAAAACAAATCTTCCATGCACACTAGGTTATTGTTAGCTGAGTATCTCACAAGACTGTGCTCTGATTTAAATAAACTCCAAAGAAATCTCATGGCTCAGCTATGCTTATACCAGCCCATTTGAATGTCACAATGATTTTTTTAGCATCTAACTACTGGAAGTCATGCTTAAAATATTATTATACTGCATACTTCTGCAGCACTATCTGGCATATAATTATCTAAGAGCTTCCAAATATCTGAAAATCATTCATCACTCATAGTACTGCATGTGAGACAACAGGAAACTATGGCAGCTTGTGCAGACAGCTTCTTACAAAATTTGCCTTAAACAATTCCTCTTTTGTCCAATGACAGTTCTCTTATGCTCTGTTTATGCAATATGAAGAAATTCTATGTGCTTTATAAAAAATACATTTCCATAAATAACTCTCAAATACTGTTATCTCAAGTGTAACATAAAAGTTGCAGCTTTAAAGGAAATTTTTTGCTAAAATAAATCAGTTGTTATGCTAACTTTTTCATATCAGCAACAAGAAAAATAGAATATTAAAAAAAAAAAAACTTGCTAGGATCACTTGGTATTAAATAATGTTGTCCTATTAAAAGTTGATCCTGTACACATTTTGGGTTTAAGCCCACACTTTACATTTTGGAAAATAAAAATACATATAAAATTAAATGTATGCATTTAAAAACAACACCAAGTTTCAGATCCATTAAAATATTTTGACTATTCTCCTCAAAAGCTCATTTTCTGCTAAAATTCCACACTTCAAATTTTTGAGGTATTGAAGTATACGATGTGAATATCGTCATCACTATTATCTATTTTATTTGCATTAATATTGCAAGTCTTTTGTAAATGTGTCCCATATTTGATTTTGCAGTTCATTAATGAGTTCTTCTCAAGCAACAGGAGGGTATGCATTCATTGCATACACTTATGATGTATGCATAGCTTGGCAATTATCTCTCTTCTTATTCAAGAAAGGACCTTAAGCTGCCTCAGGAGGACTGTACACATATAAAACATGTTAGATTCCTTCTTACTAGGCTTATCTCAGAAAAGTCCATCTCCATTTGTTTGTGTTTCATGCCTCTGTGTCTAAAATATATAAAGGTCACCTGTTTCTCTTCTTCCGATGCTCTCTGTTGGAATTTTCTGATTCACTGCCACTGCTGGTGTTACAGCGAGACCGTGATCTGGAGAGGAGAAAAGCAGCATCTCAAGTTGAATTTATCTATTAATATCTGAAGTACTGAAGTTCTAAACAAGGAATGAACCACACAGCAAAGACATTACTAGGAAAATGACAATTAAAACACTCTAGAGGGCTTGTCTACACCCGAAAGTCATATTATCTTTTTCTCATTAATTGATTGGGAATAACTGCTTCGACGGTAGTGCACCCAGAGTGCAGTGTCAGGTGACTGCTATTTTCCTTTTGAATCATTGCACTGCATTTTTGTTTGTTTATTTTATTTTATTTCATTTCTCAGCATTCTTTGTGTGTACACCACAGTGAAATGTTTCTTTGAGGTGGGAAATGTTTTGTCTCTAAATTGTATGCATTCTGGCTCTTTTCTTGCATATTGTGGGACACCCAACACCACACTAATTCTGTTTTTTCAGGCAAAACAAAATGCTCATCAGATCTGTCTTCTTCTATTCACCTCTAGTTCCATCTGCCTTCTACTAAGTTCATATCATTTTTCAAGTGTCAGGCAGTATGGAAGAAATACCACTAACGCTGTGATTCTACTAATCTTTATAAAAACAGAAAGGCTGAAGTGCACACATTGGCAGGTGTCCGTATCAGCGCAGCTCTGGGATGAGCTGATGTACAGCTACAAAGATGGTACATCACTGTGAGGAAAAAGAAATAAAGCAGTTACTTCTCTCTCACTTCTGACTGCGAAGCTTCAAATGGCAAGGTGACATTCATGGCTCTGATTATTTATTACTGAAGAAGACTGGTGGAACAGGCTGATGCTGAACTTCAAGAAGAAAATGGGCATATGCCTACCTACAGACAAACTACTCTCAGCAGAGAGAAGTGCTTGGCCACTACTATCTGAGACCCTTAAATCCTTGACTGCCACCAATCTACATTCTGGAGCAGACAGACCAGCTGTCAGGGCCCTAGTCCTGGAAATCAGGACTCTGTTACTGTACCACTGGGCTAGGTCCTAAAAAATGGCACTCTCATCAAAACTTGGTCTGGACCATTCTTTAGAGGGATGATGGTCTCTGAATGCATCCAAAGAAAGACATGTTTCTCTGCGGCACTGACAGCCCAGCTGATTAATGGGGAAAGTTGATCAATATTAAGATAAGCTGGCCTAGAAGGACTTAGGATATCAGGAGTCAGAATAGGTGATGATTTTGCTGCAATGGAAAACAGAATTTTTTTTCTGATGTTTCTGGGCATGAAATAGGAGATATAGGGGGATGACTCCTGATGCTGCTGGCAGGGACACATACTTTCTTGTGCCTCCTCGCTTTTCTTTTGCTCTTTGATGATCCACTTTCATAAGAGAACAGATTTGTTAAACTACACCTCAAACAAGTTGAGGAGTGAAGGCAGTTCATTAGGTGTAGGTAAGAGGTAAAGGGAAGCAGTTCATGACAAGGTGGGAGGTTATTGACAAGCACCTGCTCACTGCACGTTCTAACAGTTTAGGGAGAAGAGCCCAAACAGAATGAGAGAGGACAAGAGAACAGCTGCAGCATGGACCTCCCCTGAGTGTCCTGTCTGGTCAGGGACACATCACTCTACCCTCTGTCTCTGAAACCAGGACGTTGTTAGAGATGTCCTTCTGACACAGCTGAGAGTTTCATGAATTTGCCCATAATACCAGTGAATTATGGTTAGTTTTATCAAATTGCTGTGTCATTAAATGTCTCAGGGTCTATGGAGTCTGGTCTCGCCCCCCTCCCAAACTAGGAAGTCACTAACTCAAATAGCTCCCATTCAAACAGAAATGTTTTAGAATAACAGGACAACCAAAGCTTAGGAAAATCAGTTCAATCCAGCTTGTCTGTAGGGAACAGGCTTGGAAAAGTGAAATTTCCCAGAGGAGAAGCAGAAACCTCTCCCCATCCCCAAATTTCATGGCTCATAATTTAAAGCCATTGAGAGGATAGCCAGTTTCCCAGGTAAAAATACACATTATTTGGTGAAACTCAAAGTGGGGATAAGAAAGATGCATGTTACTACAGAAAAATGTAACCCCGAAGGAAGAAGAAAGATTAGAAGATGGTGTTCAAAAGATATTGGCTCAAGCACATTCAGAGAGTTCAGAGCAATAAATGCCCCAGAACTGCAGCAGACCTTACATGCCCCAAAGTATACGTTTTTTCCCCCCGAAATCTTGTCAGATGTTTAATAAATATTCCACTAATCTTGAATCTCAACATTACTAGGTCATCCAAGCAACACTGTTCTTTCACACTTCCAGGTCATCGGAGCGACTCTGTTCTTTTACATTTCTCAGCATTTTAAGTATTTTCTAACTCTGGTTTAAGCAATTTATCCCATAAGGTACAAAGGCAGCAAAAATCACACTGTGGTGGGAGAAGTGCAAGATAAAACATCCTATTTGCTCAAATTCAAGATAAGCCTTTCTCTAGCTTTTCAGGAATCAAAATCTGATCCACCTTTTGGATGCTGCACATCAAATTATCTTGTGTTCCCTGCCAGGAAAGCACTTGCAGGGAGACAGCAGGGCTGCTGAGCTGTCAGCTGAGTGGTAGCTGCTGATGCTGGCTGTCAGAATATCATCTTTCACTGAATATTAAACATCAGCTTTTACTGAACTGAATAAAATACCAAAAATGGAAACAAAGGTGGTTTCCTAAGTCAGGTGCAAGAACACATGAGATCATCGTGACCTCTGACAATTACAAAGAACCTTTCATCCTTTCTCATGCTTTATTGGTCATGCAATATATTTGATATTTTGCAGGTGGAATATCTATATGGTCTGACACAAGGAGCAAAGAAGAAGGCATAAGCAGTTTGGCAAGAGACAGAACAAACAGAGCCCAGGAGGGGGCTGGAGGGTGGGGCAGGTTGCAGGATTTGGTATTTCAGAGAAATAGCTGACAGAGAAGGCTCATATTCTGGTGCAGTCCTTTTCTGATTAAAATGAGAGAAAAGTAGCAAAATTGTGAGGAATTGGAGAAAGTCTATTCCAATATACAAGAACAAACGTGTACATTTGTGATGTAATACAGCAGGCACAGCCTTTGGGAAGAGGTCCCTTCTAAGCACTGGGGTTTTCCACCCGAGATGCCTGACTAAATCCTCTCAGTTTTATGTGCTGGACATCTCCCATGGGACCATCACTGGGAGCTTGCAATGGTAACATCCTTCAGAAAAATAATCTGTTATCTTATAATAGGTGCAAAGTACGTGAGCACTTTCCCTGACTTCCTGTGATTGTCCCTGAGATGTTTGTATCTCTGCCAGAGCTCCTTTCCCATGCTGCAGCAGTGAATCAGATCCTGGGAGTGCCTCCTCTCCTTTGCAAGCTTCAGGAGACTCTGACATTGAAATGCACTGCCTTTTTCCAGCAGCCAGGGCAGGAGCATAGGAGCGAGGAGAAGCATAGCACAGAGTCATGGCAGGCAGATGTGGCACTAGAGAACTCCAGGTGCAAAAATCTGTCAAAAGCTGAAGTTGTTGAAGGGCACATCCAAATTCACACCAGCATTTTGTTTGGAAATGTGACAACTAGTCAAGACTGCACAAGAAAAAAAAGAAGCTGAAGAAAAAATTCAGCAAAAAATGTGAAAGACAGTGAGAAGGCCATAAGAAGTTGCATATACCTCTGCATCTACCTTTTGCAGGACAATTCATCTCAAATGATAGTACACTTGCTTTCAAAACAGATTAATTAAGAGTGGACTGGGAGGCTGGAGAACTCAAAACAAAATGTGCAGATGCAAAATCCAAAAGCTAAAACTTCTGGAATTGACTTTCAAGTTGCAGACAAGCCTTTAATAAACTTCCACAAATTGCTTCTAGCATTGTGTAGAAACAATGTGCAAGGCAGCTGGTAGGAATCTCTACTGTGATGAGGTTATGCTATAGAGCATTTTAGCAAAAGTAAAATAGGAAAGAAAAAATTAAATGGGCAGAACACAACAAGCCTTTTAAACATTTAAGAAGATGGGGGAGAAGGAAGGAAGGGAGGGGATGCAGGGAACTAAAATATGATCAGTACCTTCGCTGTCATTTCATGGCTCCTATAGATCATATATTTACCTTCTCCTTTGCTTTAAATCTGAATCTTCACCACTGTTTTGATTTTTCCTGTGACATTAAGGAAGTTTCAATGAAATACCATCAGGTCACTTAACACAAATACACAAAAACTCCCATTTTTTAAACAAACAAAAAAAAAAACTTTACAAAGGTTTTTTTTCAATATGATTTAAGGCAGAGAAAAAAGAGCATGTGCTTGTTTTGAACTTTTCAGGACACTTCTACAGTAAGTTGCGAAGGCATGATCCCATTCAAGCTCTCATTGCAAACCCCTGACTCGCAAGGTTAAGCATGGTATGCTAGCCTTTAGAGTTTCCTACTGTTTCCAGGATAGCAAAGCCTGATGTTTTCCTCTTAATTCCAGTAAGGAGTGCATAAACAACACAGCTATTGTTATTAAAAGGTTGAAAAAGGAAAGTGTATGAATAAAACCAAGATTCAGGAAGACATAATTAGGTTAGAATCTACTTACTATTGTCAGTCTTCACAGTCTCACATATGAGATAAGACTTTTAAAAACATTTTGTTGGTGTGGTGGCCCAAGAGAAAACTTGCTATTGGCATGACCACCTGTCCACTGAGTAGATCAGCCAAATGCAAATCCCAGATGATAAACACTTTGCATTTCAAAAAATTTCCTACTGCACAGTGCACAAGCATTGTTTTTTTCTTGATATAAGACAGTTTTGCACTGCACATCTCTATTCCTTTGTTTTTACAGAGCCCAACAAGTCCTTCTGACAACTAAGCTAGCAATGAATCAGAAAACCCATTCAGGAAACACATTGCTATTAACACTTACAAGGGCTCTATCCAGCAGGGTAAATCAACATAAGTCTATTGACTTAGACAGAGCTACGGTGATTTACTTTAACTCAGGCATGAGGTCACTAAGCACACACCATTGGTGAGTTTCTTCGCTCCTGTTCTAGACAGCTAATGGCAGATAAAAGGTCTGGAGCAGCTCAGAAACCTGAAAAATATAAAAGCTCCACATCTAACTACATTTCCTCACAGATATAGCTGTGTCTTCAGAGATTCCTTTGCAAACCCTGGCTTTGAAAGCCAAACAGGTAGTCACTTCACAGATGTCAGGAGATGTAACTCCAAAGTGCTGGCTTGTAAGGCAGTTCTAGAAGACTGAGATGAATATGGCAGAGTAGTTATGCTTGTCTATACTTCACAGCAGATCACAGCACCGGGGTACCTTAGCAATGAAAGCAGCTTCTCAGCAGGACAAATCATCCCAGGTAACATGCAGTCTCTCAAAACTGTATCACTTCAGAACTGTCCCTGTAATTCGCATTTTGGACATAGTCCAGGACACACAGCACAGAATCTCCATCCATTTAATTTTACTTCTCTAAGTTACTCAATTCAGCATGTACCCATTAAAAACACATTAAGTATCTCATAGTTGTATTTTTGCTGGCATCCTCTCTAATGTAAAGTAATTCATACGTAGGACTGTTGAAGACAGCTTTATGGCTCATTCGTTTTATCTTTGTTGCAGTGAAAGCAAAGCAAGGTACTTAAAACAAAATACTGTTCTGTATTAGAAGCTCATTGTCAAGCAAGCAATACCCATCAATCCTTTCCTTCACAAGGGAAAATAGCTACAGCAACTGAAAGGATCTTGCACATGCCAATAATGCAATTTCTCATATTTTTAACATCATTTTCGTAGTACCCAGAACAGCACACAAGCAAAAAGCCTGACCAAAGCTTTCTTTCCAAAAGTAGATCTGGTATTCTTGCTCAGGATTTTTTTGGACTAACAACTGGCCCCTAAAGTACCCCTCTTCCCAGGACCCAACTGTGTCACCAAGAGCCTTTACTGAACACAGAGCATGCAGGACCTCCAGCTTTCTACTGTGAGAAGCTAACAGTAATTAACCCCAGGGCTCTCACCTCCTCCGGACTGGCTGCCCAGACTCATTCTCGCTGCCACCTGATGGGTTCCGTCGCCGAGAGTAAGGAAACTTCGGTGATTTATTGCGGTCACTGGGAGAATTATACAGCCCACTAGGGTTAAAAAGGAAGAGCAAACAGTTGGCTATAAAACTTCCAGGAAAGTTAGGTCAGCTAACGGAGACTCAGACTACAAAAATGAGAAGGTTCACGCACACACTTATATACATATTCAGCTATACATGTACGTGTGTGTGTGCATGCTATGTAAATACAGACGGTACTGCTTTCCAGCAATAAATATTTTACACTGAACCTTGAAAATGTAGGAGAGAGACCTCTTAGCATTACGAAGCCAAGAGCTCTAAGCTTACAAAATGTAGAACCAAGTCTATACATATTCTTTTAGCATAACAAAATTTCTGTGCTTTAGTATGAATTATCCAACCCAGAGCTAGGCATTCAAATGCACGCCTATTCTTTATGTTTTCCACTGATATAAGTATGAAAACATTCCTGTTGCAACATACATCTTCATCACAGAGCTAATGCTTGGGATGGTGAAACAATTTTAGCTCCATCTCTCTCCTGTTGATCCACACAACCCTCTGCCAATGGTCTGGAGGTGTTTCAAACTTCAGGTTATGTACTTAGGCCTGGGCAGGACCCAATGGGTTGGGTTGTTATCAAAGTAGATGTAGACTATCAAATGCCTGTATAGATTATCCTTCGATACCTTCCTACATATGTGTAAGGACCTATTCCAACAGTGTAACAGAGCCTGTGATGGAGTACCTATCACCCTAAGGTGGTCTACTGATGTTCCATGACTTTTTGGAGGAAGGATGCTAAACTCAACCACACATCTTTATCTAACATTACTTAGCCCTTTTCACAACAACTGTGTGCTAAGATATTTCTTTCTGCTTTCATAACCCTCTGGCCTTCAAACTGGGTACATTCTTCTTCACCTGCTTCTGCAGACTGCTGATTACAGCACTGCTCTGCATGGTTGAAAAGTTGCCACAGTTCATCTCAATGAGAATTATTATTAGAAGCTGTGAAAGCCTCTGCTTATGTGTCTAAAACTGTGTAGTCCTTTAGAATAGATGGACTTGCAAAAACTCAGTCCTACCGTTCTTTGGATCCTGAGGGATCAAGCTTCCTGCTATTCTAAAAGCAATTGTAACACTGGAGCCCTAATGTGACAAGCTGACGCCACTTCTTCATTAAAACTCACAAATAAATGTCTATCGTACAAAGAGAATATTTGCACACTCCCTTGTCCTCACTCCGAAAACTCTTGATGTTTACAGAAGGAGCACACGTAGTAAATCATCATGGTGCCTCAAAAGACACACCATGTATAGATCTGAATCATCACACAAAAGCAGGACAGTACTGGATTACACTTAATGTGCCATCTAGTTCCGTGGCCTGTTTCCAACAGGGGCCATAAACAACCACCTACAGGAAGCAAGAAGCTGAATACGTATGACAGTTCCCCACTGCTCTCTCAGTCCCCACTATTCCAAGTCCAGGGGACTTACTGAGCCAGCTGCTATACCTCTGTCTTCAGAAGCCCTTGGGGATTTCTATTCCGTGACTCACCCAGCTTCTCCCAGGAATCCACTAACTTCCAGCAACCCTTCTAAAGGAGGACTACAGATCTCCTAGTCACGGTAAGTCACTACTCACTGCTTTTCTCAATGCTTTTAAACCACCTCCAATAGCTTCATGTGAAGATCTCAAGTTCTTACACTGGAAAAATTCAATCCTGATCTCTTTCTCCTTTCTCTGTACTACTCATGATTGTCTAGACCACGTCTCCTGAAATTATCTCTTTCCCAGACTGAAGAAAAAGTCCTGCCTGGCCTATGCTCCTTGTACAGATTTCCTGCACAGCCATTCACTCCTTTGATTACCCTTGCTGCCCCTCTCAAGGCCTTTTCCTTCTCGTGAGAGAACCGCACTCACAATTCATGGAGCAAATATGTGATCCACAAATTTATGTAATGGCATAATGCTGTTCTCTTGCTTTCCTAATAATTGCTAAATGTTTTTCTGACTGCTACATAGTTTATGTTTCCATTAAGTTATCCATCATAACTACACAGCACCTCATTTTACTCAGAAATCTAGGGTTATTTTTTTGCCCCTATGTGCCTCGCTTTACACTTACTCACTCAATATCATCTACCATCTAGTGACTCGTCACTCATACTTTAGGGGTCTTTCTGCCACTCTTCACAGACAACTTTCACTCTCACTGTCCTAAACAATTCTGTCCCATCACCAAACCTTATCACCCCTTTTCCAGGTTTTTGACAAATATACTCAATAGCAGAGGTCTATGAACAGACCTCTGTGGACAGCCACTGGTGACTCTCATCCACTGACCACTTCCTCCTACACCTACTCTCCTAATTTTTAACTGATTATTTATCCATGACAGGACCTATCTTCTTATATGCAATACAGTTTTATTGTGACCCTGTTAATACATTAATATATTATATCAATATCCTTCAACCTATTGTCATGGCATGATATTTACCATTGCACAATACCTAGGACATCATGCCTTGCCTTACCTCTGTGGGCCATTTTCCTCCCATGGTGCGCTTGTTTTACTTCTTTGGGTTTCTGGACTGTTTTCATTTTTCATCTTTTTAAAGCTGAATAAAAATACAGATATATATATATATATATATTTAAACCCATAGTGTACAGATCACAGGCTATACTGCAATCTACCAGGCAGGGTGGCTTTGGTTTCATTTTGAAAGCTACTTAAAATAAAACCCTGTGGATGAAACAAAGAATCCACCCAAACATGAAGGCTCCAGCATCTTTGTTGAAAGAACAATAGCATATTACTCCTCATCCCTCTATCTTGTTGCAAGAGAACCATCAAGATAGTTATTGCTGTGATCAAATTAAAGACCACTTCACAGAATTATTCTTTAAACTAATCACTATTTATAGAGGTTTATCTTCATGTACCAATGGTTATAAATGCTCTAATTCAATTGATCTGCAGAAAACATCCCAATAAAAGAAATATTTCCATTACCATAACAAAAGGCAACCAGTAAAATCACTCACATGCACAAGCTCAAAATTTCAAATGAAAGCAATATTCCTGTATAAATACACTCTATTTTTATTCTAAATCCACTCTAAATAGAAAGAAAAAAAGCCCTATGAATGATTGTTCCCTAATCACAAACTCCACCCCATAATTTTTTTTAATACGTTTTTAACAACTGTCTCATCTCTTTTCCAAGTGAAAGAATCACAGACTATTTAATCTCTCCCATTATAGGAGTCACCACATACCTCTGATTATCCTTATCACACTTCTCTATCATTTTTTCAGGTCTACAGTACCTTCTTTAAGATGGGAGCAACAAAGGCAGCAGTGATAACTATTCAAAACATGACAGACCACAGGTTCATAGAGTAGCATATTTTTCCCATTTCTTCCCCAGTAACTCCCTATGTTTTCTTTTTGCTAGACACTGAGCATAGATCTGACAACATGACAGAGATATCTTCACTGACTGCTGCAAGGTGAAGTACCAGGACAGTCAAAATAGTCACCTGGCTTAAGAGATATATCAGTGTTTGTAATCAGTCTCCTGTTCTACCTGCGGAAGACAGGGGGAAAAACAGCAGGATGCTCCAATTTTTCCTATTCCTACCATTCTCACCGTGTCAGGTTTTACAACTTCCAACCCATTAATGCTCCTAGATAGCCTGCTCACTGCCACTCCAAGTGCTGCAAGGTGGCCTCCAGCTAGAGCATGCTTTTGCACCCACGTTCTCACCAATGGCTAGTCATGCTTTTCCTGCATCATCATCTCTAGAGCTCGCTTTCTACCTGAACAAGCAGTTCACCTGATAAAGAACTAGATAGCCACATCGATTTCCACTAAGCTTTTCAAGAAGTATTACTGACAGCAACCCACTACAAGCATTAATACCACGTATCTTTCCAAAGTGCAACTTAAGCAGCAAAGAAAAAGCTTTACAGATGCTTATAGAGAGCAAGACATAAGCCAGAGTTCTTTGCCCAGAGCAGGAGGTGACAGACTCGGCTTTATGAAGGAATTGTGGCTACTTAATGCACTAATCTGCTTTTAACCTCAGCCTTTGGTTACCACAGGTCACTGAGTTAATCATTTAATTCTCACATAGTGAACAAAATGCAAAGCTACAGAAAGTCTGTAGGAAAGGAAACTAAATTACAGTTTATCAAGTAAATAATTTTCTTAATACTGCAATCATTAATTATTGACTCATGTGCATACAATCTATTCCCAGGCTTAAAAATATGTGCTTACTACAGACTAAGCAAGAAACTCGGGTAAATATGTTTCAGTCCTGTATTGCAAAAAGCAATTGTTTTTGCACACCATAAACTACTGAACAATACTGAGATTGAAGTTGGGCTTAGAGAAATTTGAATAGTGTTCTCAAATCTTAAAAAAGAGAGGGAGAGAGAAATTACCTTGGGAGGTGAATTCACTGCATTAGATTCCTAAGTCGTTATTAATTCAGAGCAGACATACACTTTACAGCCAGAGAACTATTGCATGGCAGCTCTTCAGATACTGGTATTATCTCCAGGAATGCAGTTGCAAAAGGGACTGAGTTCATTCAAAGTATTAGAAAAGGTTAGGATCTGAATTTCATGTGAGATTACTGTTGTTGGGGTTTATTATAATTTACCTTGAATTTATACCACTTATGCAGAAGTGGCCAACTATGAATCTCAACAGTGAATGAGATGTTACACTATGAAAACTCAGCTTGTAAGAATTGCTGAAAGATGCTTTGCAAGCATGACCGATAATTAATGCAAGAATTACATGGGATGGAGTAAACTATGAAACTGTAAATGCTTCACAAAGTGCTGCCTGTCACGTGTACTAAGCCTGGCAGACCTGAAAGGTGTTTTACACGTGCAGACAGAGACACTGAGAAAAACAAATCAATTTCTAAATAGAAAGCATGCAAGAAAAACAACTTCCAAAACTTTTTTGCTGGAAGTGACTAACACTATTTAAAACTCTGACTCAGTGAGAGTCTGCCTGTGAATTGCTTTTAAACTATCAAGGTAAGAAACTGAACTCAGAAACGTTGAAGCTGCCTTGTTGAGAGCCCCTTATTTTGGTTCTTGCTCTACAACCTGCCTATCCACTTCTTTTTAACAGTTCATTGCTAAAAATTTATACACAGCATTTGGAGCACAACCTGTAGTGAAGGGCTCCTATTCCTTCCCAATACGATCATCTCTGCACTATGGAATAAGGGTACCTCTTGCTTTGCACCTTCCTCTCTCAGAACAAATCACAGAATGACAGAACGGTTGAGGTTGGCAGCGTCCTCTGGAGGTCATCTGGTCCAGCTGTCTGCTCAAGGAGGGCCACCTAGAGCCAATTACCCAGGACCACTCCTAGGCAGCTATTGAATATCTCCAAAGAGGTAGACTTCATAACCTCTCTGGGCAACCTGTGCCAGTGCTCGGTCACCCTCACAGTCAAAAAGTGTTTCCTGATGTTCAGAGGGAACCTCCTGTGTTTCAGTGTGTGCCCAATGCCTCTGCTCCTGTCACACAGCACCACTGAAAAGAGCCTGGCTATGTCCTCTTTGCACCCTTACTGAAGGTATTCATATACCTTCCTATTGTTTTCTGCTCAATGGCCTAGCTTCAGCATGACCAAGTGGCAAAATCATAAACTTTCTTTTAACCCATGATTAGTGTTATTTTCTGAGGGCTAGAATATTTGATCCAATTTCCCTCAAACCGAGGAAGCCATTAAATTCAGCTCTCCTTTTCTGGGATAACTGTTCTAAATATTAGGCAATAGAAAACACTATCCACCAAGTATTTGCACTAAATCTTTTAGACACTTCTTCAGAGGTCAGTCCAGATACCTAGTATGTGAAGCCCACAGCTTCAATGGAGATACAAGGCCAGAGCTGCTCAGCTCAAAAAAACCTGTCAGGGTTACTAGGCATGCAGAGACAGACATTCAGGCAACTAAGCAAAAAAGCTAGGTGCCGAGTTTTTGACTCATTGTTTTGTCAGATCACTCTTTTTTGATTCAGGCACCCAAATTCCACCTAAAATTAAGGGTGGGGATATAAATCCCTTTCTGAATCTGAGTCTCACCTCTTTCTCTCAAATATGCCCAATAACGAGAGATGCGCACTTCAGCACTGATAATTAAGCACAGCAAACCACGCAAGTCCAGAGAAGCCATGGCAATTCACTGCTCCTAAGGATCAGGCCCAAACACTCATGAGTTTTATTCTGGATTTACCGGTGTAACAGGTAATGGGCTGAACAATTAATAGCATGGCTGGAAGAGAGGCCATGCCCAGCTCTTCCCTGCCCACACATTCCAAGCAGAGCTTGCCCCGGGCAGGGGCAGAAGACGCATGCCCTGAGGGCCCTGCCAGCCAGCCCACAGCTCCCAGGGGAGAGACACGTAGGAATTCACAGGACTATCCTGACCAATGTCCCCTGGGTCATTACCTGTTTTTTTCATATTTAAACTCAGACTGCTTACCTCCCCATAAACTTGTCCCCTTTCATGGGTTTCCAAACTCCATGTCACCTGGAACCCCTGTTCCAGGTTCCTCAGAAGATCAGGGCTTGTTAAAATGAATTACTGGGCAACACTCTCTGATCTTTGTCAACATAATATCAGACTGTCCTAAACTTAAGGGCAGGATAAACTGTTACTAATGATTACTAAATGTGTTCCTCTATCCAATGCAATACACAATCTCTTAAAAGCTGGAAGGGAACTGCTGGTCTACGTACCTTTTCACAGGGGAAGGTGCAATAATTTTGGTAGTTCCTTCATTTTCGCCATTTGTTGTAATCTGGCTCATGTTCTTAGATCCTGAAAAAAAAAGCACAAACAGAACAGTCCTGTAGCATATATGCTTGCACACCTATTCAGCATAATCACCTACTGAACACAGTGCAGCAGGAGAGATAAAATGATACACAAGACATCTGGTGCATGCTCTACTTACTAAGGGTGCATAAGGATCACACTTTTGTGTCTTATCCTTATTTTTAGTCATACCACATCACAAGGAAGTTTAACGCGGGGGACACTTATTACTCTTCCACATAAGACAGAGGAGTTTGAAGCTGTTGTTCTCACAAGGCTACTATGCCATTGTCACCAGGAGGGAATTCCCTGCTGGGTCACCAAAGAGAAGAAAGGTGTGAGGAGAATACAGGGTATGAAAAAGCTTGGGAATCGCCAATGTAATAACTATGGCCTCTAAATCAATTGTTAAATTAGATGGTAAAGCAAGATGAATGTTTGTTCTAAGAAACCATTTCAAATTGATGTAGCAACACAGTGCAGCACAATACTAACATATCCTGAGTTACGACCAGGAAAATAATAACTGTACATCAATGGATTAGAAAACTAATAATGTAAATAGAGAGAGACAATAAAGGGTAATACTCTGACAGAGACAGGTAAGGATCAGTTCCAATGAGTCAGAAACTTTTGGCCAATATTTGAAAGTTATCTGCCTAGTTTCCAATCTTGTGCCCAATACTCTTTCCATTTTGATCCTGCACTTTTTGCACTGTTGGCACTTAATTCCTCACCTGAGCCATGAAAAGTAACCTTAAGAAGCAGGACGAACATGCACTTTCCTCTCTTTTTGAGCCCCCATATAACAGGCTTCAAAGAAACAGATTAGCATATTCATGATTTAGGAGCACTGAGGGCCAAGGCAATCTGGGTATTTCATACTGGGTTAACGTCAAAATGGCATGATAAGATTATGCTCTACAGATGTATACAGCTCAGTATCATGAACAAAAAAAGAACGGTTCTGTTCAGATTGCTATGTAGTAATATATTAATCATCAAGACAGGTTTGTTCCTACTGGTGCTACAATTTTAGTTTCCATGTTGTGCTTATTAATATTAACCTGTAACTTTTCTTCAGTTCACACATTCTCTTTTATCTAACTGGCAATTTGAGTCATTTCTTACAAAACTGTTACCACCTCCAGAAACAGATGTTAAGTAAAACGGCAAAGCAGCATCACTGATGATGTCCATAACCTCTGGACAGGATTCTGAGCATGTTCATTGAAGATAATGCAACAGATTGACTTAAGCCTGTAAGACTGCTAGCAAGAAAATACTATGTCCTCTGGGCACAAGCAACAGCATCATAGTGTTGTTAATATCGTGGTATAAACTCAAAGCCTTTTGGTTTGGCTAAAACTGAAATGTAATGTCTTAAATTAAGCTGTGGTGGGATTTTGCATTGTAAGTTTTCTCCGCAATCTCAGAGAAAAAAATTTCTCCACAATCTCCCTCATCTTTCCATACTACCCCTTTGACATACAAAGTCTCTGGACTCTGCTTTAACAAAAATATTTGAGATACCCTAAGGGCATTGCCTGGCCATCAATTGCCTCTCCTACAGGTTAAATCTGCTAGCCTTCTGCAGACGCCTCATACACTGCAAAGGGTCTCAAGTGGCATTAGTCACCTTTGCTTAAGTAACTCATCCAAGCCCTTTACATGTTTGACCTTGCCACTTTTAATGATGTAGTTTACTCCTTTCCCAGAGGCGAGCAGCCTGGGTCCTGTCTTGCATGATATTTGCTCCTTCAAGGCACTTCTTGTTATTTATGCAAGCATAAGCACTAGGAAGAATTTTGAATATTCTGAAGAAGGAAATGCAGAATAGGCACAGATTCAGACAGAAAGGAAAGTGAAGTTTTGGCGTTCTGAACAAATCCTCTATTTTATACAATAAGAGACAACTAGCTCTCCAGACTCTCTGAAGCTCTGCACATCTGCCCGTACAGTTACCTTCTTCTGTTTTCAGGAATGAAGCAATAGCTACACTGCCACTATGACTTGCTTGGCAACAAGACAGAATTACTGAACGAAAAACTTTCTTGAATTATGTGGATGAGAAAACGATCACAAAAAGAATCCCCAGTCTTCATTAAGGCCATTAGAGACTGCTACAAAAATTCTTCCTCTGACCTCTAAAAAGAGAAGGATGCCTACAGTGAAAAATCACAAATAAATGAAGATGACACTATAAGAACAGGAAGCAGAAATTTCCCACCTTTAAGGAAGGTACTGGTAGTGAAATGAAAATGGAGTAGGTCAAAGTGTTAAACTACGAGGGTATCTCGGGGTTTCTGACCATATTTTTTTGCATGCAGATACATTTAGTTTGCCTTTCCTAGGCCATCAAATACATAAGATAAAATAACCCACTATAGTAATCTGGCCCACAGAAGTACTGAAATCAGCAAAGATACGACTTTTTCAAACAGAGGAAATAATTTCAGTACTTCACATATTACTGTTTAAGTGAGGTAGCTTCCAATTAACCCCCTCAGAGTGCTCATAACTTGATAGAGCAATAAGAACTCCTGCTCCAAAACATTTCATAGCTATGAAACAACTGCCAGAAAAAAAGCCAAGGGCCAAGAGCTATGAAAGTAACAGCCACTTCCAGAACTGATCCTTTGCTATGTGCGGCAACAGCCTTACCATTCTGCTGACACCCAGTCGTCTCTGGGTGTCAGGCGATGGGGGGGTTATGCAATGCAAAGTCAGCCCACCCAAGTGCAGAAAGTCTGTGATGCCTTTGCAACTCCTTGAGTGCCCTGCATGAAGGCTGGTGCTGCAGAGCCTCCATGGGGCACCTCAGCTTTTGGAGCAGCTAGTACTAGTAAATCCTTACAGAAGCATCAGCTCCTTCTCATTGTTGAGTTCCCTGGTTACCACTCTACTATTTTAACAAGTACTTAGTTGAGGGAAAATCAAAGAAAAGACAACATAACAGTGATAATCACACGAGGCAGAATCCACCCAGAAATACAAAATAGGCTTCTACTGAGACAAGATTTCATATTAGCCATGTTTGACGCCACCGCTGGCAACAACAAGGACCTTTGTTTTGCTTTTTCACAAAAAAAGCTCTTGCAGTACAATTCTTTTGTACAAATAACTAGCTTAATTAGGAGCTTTCTGTCCACACTTACAGAAACTGTAATAATTGTCGTGAAGTACATTCCACCTCATGTATCTTTTACTAACTACAGTACTGTTCTACCAACATACACCTCTGTATGATACAGTATCCCTAATATAAGAGAACAGACTCCAGAAAAACTGTCCAAACACTAACCCCATTGCAATAACTTATCTATACCACTGTTTCTTGCATGCCAAGGTAATAGGCCTCTCAAAAATACCTTAGATAGCCAGAAATCTTGAACATCTCACTTGTAGCAGGTTTTCCTAGTTGTTTACCTTTTGTCAGATAAGTTACTGTCAGCATTCACTGCATGGAACATTTCCGATAAGGTGAATGCACACACTTCGATTCCCTTTTACAGCCATCTTGATGCCGATTTGTACATTCAATTACATTTTTAAAAACTCAAATGTCCAAAATCTCAGGAGCCTGGCAAGCTAATTAGCTTGCCATGCCTGTTTCTTATCAACTAAAGCCATTTCACTGACATTATCTGAAAGTAGTGTTTGTATTTAAATCTATTAATGAGAGCAGAAGATAGTGTGATCAAGAGGAAAACATGCAGTAAGAGCTTATGCTTTGCACTGTGTGTTACTAAGAGGCTGCAAAAATGAATGGATTTCCATATGTCTACACTAGTGTAGCCTACTCTGTGGTATTGTTTATTTTCCACACTAGTTTCCAAACCTGCAGCCTCAAAGGTTTGTGCCTCTCACACCATATGCATGAAATGCAGCAGCAGTCACATCCATCCTTTTAAAAAACCTAGATTTAAAATATACTTTAAAGTGTAAAGCTCAAAGTAAATAGATAAAATTACCCCAACATTCATTTTCTAAAAGATAACTTTCAAACCCAGTCTCACAACTTTCTGGGAAAAGATTCATGACTTTGAATGTGCCAGACCAACAGTTGTAGCTACCATGACTGAGGTTGGTGAAGCAGGGTAATGATCGGCATCTGTGGTAATATGTAAGTTAGTCAGGGCAGAGACTGTGACTGCCTGTGATTGCTTAAGGACTATTCTAATACAGACAGTACTCTAATTTTAATACCCGCTCCCGATTCTCCATGTGGCTTTTAAATCAGAATGGCAGCACTTACTTTACACTAGTTTATACAACTACCCAATGTGCAAGGCAGGGACAAATCATGTCCTCAGCTACCAAACAACAATAAACCCTAAGCAATGTGTTTTCCATTGCTGAATAAACTCAGACCCACGGCAACAGGTCTGGTCACATCAATGTTTGTCCAGAGAGGACGTTCCCAAGGAGCTTTTCACATGCAGCATTCAGCCAAAAGAATAATGAACGCTTTCACCCTAAGTACTGTTGCGAAAGCTGAACATTATCAGTCTTGCCCTAAGAGGGTAAGACAGAATAATGAGAGATCCTGTTTCATGTTTGAGTTTATGATTTGCAACCAGAACAAAAGGCAACTGTAACTCCCTCTGAAATGAAATGGGGAGAATAAGCAAATAAGCAAATGAAACAAGCTACGTATATCTCAGGTATAAGACTTTACAGAAAAAAAAACCTTCTCCAGCTGAACACACACACACACACACACAATAATGCACTAACATTGATTGCATAGCCATTGAAGTTTCCTGGTCTGATGTTTCCACTAACCCTAGAACAACGGAGATATAAAACATATTAAGAAAGTGACAAAAGGGAGGCTACTGCATTTTAAACCACTGTAATCTGGATTCTAGGAAAATAATCTGCCATGCTAAAGCCAAACTGTCTACACTGTCTGTCCTATCAGGGGAATCAGTCGATGGCAGAGGCTGTTATGCAAGAAAGCTAGTTTCTCTCTGTTATCATCTCCTTCAATCCCTCTCTTAAAGCACAAATGTTTTTACTGAAAACATAAAAGTAAATATTTTCTATCAGTGTCTTGGCACCTAATTCCAACTCTTAACCCAGAGCTCACCAAGTGGCTGCAGTCCTAATGACTTTAGCATACTTTAATTGACCAATGTGACAAAGAAACATTATTAGTCGCTCAGCTCTGCAAAAGATAGCTAACTTCTACCTTCAGATGACAGAAAAAAAATGTAAAAAATACATACTATGTAACTGCGAGTAACACCAGAACATGTATACAAAAGGAAGGAACAAGGGAAAACATTTTAATGAGATGCCAGTGGTTAGAGACTTTAGCACTTCACACACACCTCTACAATGGAGGCAATGCAAACTGCACATGCTACAGCCATGCATTTGTAGCTACTGGTTCATCTAATTGCCCCAAAACCACTGCTGTGGCTGGGGCCCTTACTGGTTCATCTAATTGCCCCAAAACCACTGCTGTGGCTGGTCCCATTACTGGATGAAAAAAAAAAAAAAACCAACAAAAAAAAACCAAAACAAAACAAAAAAGACACAGAATGGCTAATTGAACTGGCTGCAGAAAGGAAGCTTTGCATGCACTTAACTTTGCAATTTTAAGAAAAGGAAAAAAAAGTAAAGATGCAGGTGAGGAAAGATGCTGACCTTGGAGAAGGTAGAAGGAAGATACTTCATAAGAACTATCTGTAAGTTGCTACTGGGTTTTGGGATAATAAATGGAACTCTGATTTTCATTCCAAAAAGCTAGATTATAAGCCATGTCCAGCTGGACAATTTAAGTGGCATTTGGCAGAAAACACCTTAAGAAATAGGTAATACATGCAAACTAAAATAACCCTGTTTAAAACGTTGAACAAAACATGTTTAATCTTATTACACCAATTTATTTTATTTTACTTTTGTTTTTTTTATTACACATGATTTTTTTGTGTTTGTAGAAACACAAAATTAAGAACAAAGTACTAGGCATCAATGACAACCATCAGCGTAATCTCATTATGCAAAAACAATATTTATTTTAAGAAGAAATGTCATATTATTCTCTCAAACTTTTCAGTCAGGGAAAATTTTAAGTAACTCATACGACTGTTTATACCACCAGGCTCATTTCTGAGATAAAAATTATTCTGTAAAAGTAAAAGCTACATTGGATTAGTATTTTTAAACAAGTGATGCTTAAAATATATCAAACAGATTTGATTTATTGTGAGAGATGGACTTTGCTATATCCAAGAACCAGTTTAGGGGAAAAGGGGTGGATTTATCCCAGTGACATGCAACACACTGTCACATGGTGTCTGACACATGGAGGAGAAGTCAGTCGGCCTTCAGCATCTGAAAGCTCATTTAAATGAGAAAGAGTTCTAGATGTTTATCATTGTGAATACCCAAATACAAACTGAAAAAATAAAGAGTAAAAAACATGCTTATTTATAGGGAAAGAAAACAACCCAGACGGGGGATACAGATTACACAAATACATACAAGAAAGATGGTAAAAAAGCAGCCTTGTTATTTTAAAGTAAAACATAGTATTTAAATCCACCAAAATGACAAACACACGTTACCCAGAGAATTCTCCATCACGTTATATCAGCAGAACAGGCCATGGGAAGGTTTCGGTTTTCCTCACAATTCCAGTCAAAGAGACTGGAAAAAATCAACAAGCACAACACGCACACCCTTGCAGCAATATAGACTGACTTTCACTGCCTCTGCTAAGGCAAATATATTTTCAACTAAGGGTTGAGTTTGAGCTGAGAAGTTTACCTCTGAACAGCAACACAACTTTCTGCACAACTGAACTGGGGACTAATGAGGTGGGAAACACTGTTCATCTTGAACTACCACCGTGAGAATCGGACAGCCCAGCTGAACAAAAGTCTAAGTCACGACTAGGTTCAAGGGTGAACAACTTCTTGTCCTCTTAGGCACCCATTGACAACTGCAGACACAACAAAAAGATATCATAATCAGAAAGCAAAGCAATCCTTCTCCTCTTACACTTAACTAAATAAGATTAAAAAAAAAAATCTGTAGTAAACTGTTTGTGTTTTCCAAGGGCAATACTTTTAATTACACTACACTTCAAGACCCACTGCAGCTAAAAGGTAGAACACACCAGCTTTGTTTCTGAGTTAAAAGATGGCATCCAGAATGAACGTGGGAGGTTTCCAGATGTATATACCTGCTCTCTTTTTAAAAATGGGGACTCTCAAAAGCTTATAATGCTGTACTAACCCACGATAAAGAGAAATCTTGCTCACATTTTAAAGCCCAGACAAGTTTTTTTTCTCAAACTGCTAATACACATACATATATACTTAACTCCATGCACGAATTCAACCAAAATCTGCATGACTGCTGTCATAGATGAAGCTAAGCATACATGTGTAATCACATATAGAACTGGAGCTTCACATTAGAAAAGCTTTTTGCCTCTATTACTAAATTTCAGGAAGCATCCATTATTCTAGGCATGACTCCTGTGATCGGTGCTTAATCTTACATGTTTCCTCTAATGCCTGTAAAAATTTCCAGCTTCCTCTGACATCTTCAGCATGCAGAAGAGATTTCCAGCTCACACATCTGAAGCAAGTTAAAACTGAAGAGGGCACAGCACTAACTTCTGTTCCACTTAATATCAAAGTAAAGGGATACTGCCCTTGAACTGGGAAGAGGATGTACAAGAGAGACACCTTGGGTCAAGCAGCTGAAACAATAGGATACCAACCAAGACACACAGGTGTAAAATTCTTTAGCGAAAGACAGGACTCCTGGAAAAAAAAACATGTTCTCACTACCCGTTTTCAAACTTCCCCTTCATACTTTGCATTAGACCTATAAACACAGGGTTTTATCACGTTTGATCCACAACATCTCTTTTTCTTTTATGCACAAAGCTGGAGTTTTTAGATCCAGTTAAGGTTAGGTATAAATACTGACCTAAGGCAAAAGAGAGAATCCACTCTGAGAGACCCTTGAGGACACTGCACAGTTCTGAGTCGCCTCTTGAAAACAAAATGAACCCAAGACCAAAGAAGACATCTCTCCACAGGCCCATCAGAGAAGGACTTACCGGTCTGTTGTGCTCTTTTGGGGTAGGTCTTGCTGCGGCTTCTTTCAATGCACTGGTCAGGCCGCGGAAGCTGCACAGAAGAGTCTCTGGTCATCTGCAAAGATGTCCTGCCACTTGAAAACACAAGAAAATCATGAGAAAACACTTGGAAAATGATCAAAGAAACAGAGGATCTTTAGATTGAAAAAAATGCATGGTGTTTGGGCAGCATGTTTTGTTAGCTATTCACTTCTCATTCCAGCTCTGGTTCTTCTGCAGAGTAGCACTACCTTGACCTCTGTGTTGAATCAGTCATTAGCAGAACTATCAACAGATTGTGCCAATCTCTTCTATACTGAGTATTTTCAGGAGGAGCTAAGCAACTAAAACAAAATGCTGGTTTATTAGGAAGAGGCTAAGATGGTGTGACCTTTTGTAACCTTGAATATTCTAACATAAGACTTTCTTCAATAATTTGATTACTT